ATTGGTGAACTGCCAACCTGTTCTTTGGTTTTCTTGTTTGAAAGGAAGTTTGTGTTTGTACATGGACTTTGATTTTGGTTTGGGAGCAGACATGTTCCTTCTTGTGGGAACTATATGGTTGTGGGAGTGTTGGTGGCTAAGAGTATGTTTTGTGATAGAGGAGTATTTTGGAGAGTTTTTCAATGAGTGGGAACATGATGAGCAACCTGTGTCCTTTTCAGTGTGTTGAACTTCCTTGGTGAGTGGGGGAGTGAGGGAGCTTAGCTTTTCTCTTAAACTTATGTTTTCACATTCAAGAAAATCTTTCCTTTTGATTACTTCACCCAATTGAGCATGGGCTACTATTAGATTTTCTTGAAGTCTGTGGTTTTCATTCATTAAGCTAAGATGCTCCTTTTGAAAGTTTTCAAATTGATGGAGTAATGCCTCCATATCAACACTGGATGAGTTGGAATAATATGAATTGCTCGAGGAACAGGATAATACCTCATCATTGTCACCTTCATGAGATCTGGCCATACCATAGTTGTGAGAGAAACTATTATTTGGAATTATTCCGAAGAAGCAAGTAATAGCCTCCTTCTGCCTTTCTGATGAGCAGCTTTCATTATTTGAGCTGCTTTGTTCATCTTCTGATTGACTCTCCGTGAGTTCATCCCATACATCCTTTGTTTTCCAGTCATTCGATTTGTTGCTGTTGATCAACAGATTCTTTGCTTGTTGTTTATCCATCATTTAGAAAGTTTTGGGATAAAAGTGGATTTGGATCTTTAGTTCAAATTAGTCAGAAACTGATTCTAGGAACACACTGCTCTGATACCACTTGATGGTCCCGGATAGGGTAAAAGTCTAGAGGGGGGGGGGGGGGTGAATAGACTTTTAAATCTTTTTCAACTTTTTGAAGTTTTTCCCTCTAGATGAATTGATCTATAATCTTTTGAGAGATTAATAGATGCACAGCGGAAGTCTTTACCTCTTTATACTTAGTGTGAGATAACTTTCTAGTTTAGATGGTGTTTAGACTGGTTATGAGAGGAAGTAATCTTGGCAGTTGACTGGTGAGAAGGTCACTGCTTAGGCTACTGTTGCACATGTAGTTTGCTGGCTGGCAGGCAACTGCTGGGTTGGCAGTTGGCTGAAGGTCAGGTTACTGCTGAGGCACCTGCTGAGGACTTGGATGACTCTTGGATAGCTTTTTGTTCTGGCTTGTTATGGAGTTTGGAAAGACACGTATGGATGGGCAGTGGACTCAGCAGGAGGGTGAAGACCAGGGTACTGCTGAGGCACCTTCTGAGTTTAAGACAACTTCTAGTGGAAGACACTCTCAAGGAGAGTGAGTTATTAAGCAGTAGGCTAAGCAGTAGAGTCGATGAAGACTACTGCTTAGGATGCTGCTGGCAAACTACAAACCTTTAGTGAGATGTGTTTGGTGTGTGTTCTGTATGTATGAAAGTAAATCAACACACCATGTATCCTGGTTCAGAGGTGGTGTAATCCTCCTACATCCAGTCCCACCCTATTTCAGATGGATTTCCACTAAAGTATTTAGCCCAATACAATTAGTGCCAATCTAGCCTTGACAACTCTGGCCTAGATTGAAGGTTTTTCACAATGAGTATAACACCACTCAAAGTTACTCAGTCCTTAGACTTTTCTCTAATGATCCAGTGGGGATCAAAAGGTACTCTATCTATCTAACCACACTTTAGGATCCGAACAACTGTTCTCCTAAGTGTTTACAACAACATGATTTGATTCACGAAGTTTCTAACCTCCAACTAAAACCTAAGCTCTATAAATGTTACAATGAATGATCTAATCTAAGAGCTTAGTGAAGCATGAGTCAAAGCAGAGTGTTCAAGCACTTTTTCTTTTGCTGGATATTCGTAGTGTAATGACTGAACAACTTGCTTTGAACTCAATGACTTGTTTTTGAACTCATGCTTCTGCCTATTTTTATAGGCATCTCCAGTAGATTAATTTCCTCCGTTGGTTGAGAGGATTTAATCCTAGACGTTCAAAGTATTGTACTTGCGTCTTCTTGTGTTGGAGCAGGATAAGGAATTGTCTTTGGTGCTGCTTGAGGGCCAACTTGCTTCGTACGAAATGTCAACCCATACCTTAGGCCTTTTCTTCACTGTTCACCTGCCATTAGGTCTTGGCTTTGTCTTGCAACTACACTCGTGTAGTGAAGTGCGTGAACCTGCTCAATTTGTGTAGTGAGGTAGTAAAATGTGTGACTTAGAATATTTTGTACCAAATAAATTTTGTACTGGTAGGATCTTTTAAATATCCTATTAAGGTAGTAAAATTACCTTATTGCATTTTGTTCTTTCCAGTACAATTTATTTGGTACAAATTTTACAATAAAATTTGTCACTTATTTTACTAATCACTTTCTTCCTAAAGTGACATGATTAAACTTATGTATCAAATAAAAACTATACTGGTTGGATTCAAATATCCATGTAAGGTAAAAAAGAATTTACCTCATTGTATTTTATAATTCCAGTATGTTTAATTTGGTACATAGTTTTTACATTCGTGTTTTTGTCACTTTTAGAGTTTGTGAAGTTTAGCAGGTATTGTGTACAACTTAACTGGTAGATGATTTTTCCAGTCAAATTTATTTGTCTAATTAAATGGACCAAGGAGCAAGACACATCTAGATAGGTTTTCTTAGTACTAGTCAATTTCAAGATGTTACAGCAGAGGATAACCAGGACTACTACATTTTCCAAACCTATAATAATGCTACAAATAGAGGGGAGATAACAAAAGCTTTTGGCATCATCAAAACAGTTCATCAAAATCTAGGGTCTAACAGGGAGGAATTACACTCCAGAGACACGGGTGGTACCTATTCCCGCATCGGCAAGCGCTTTCAGAGTAAAATAACCCTCCAAGGGCTCGAGGCCGCCCGTCTTCGCTTTTTTAAACGGCCTCCTCCATATCATCCGTCAAGCGCAATGGACCAATTTTTGGTGGGTACCCATTCCACCGAACGGGAAGTTGACCATCGGGATGACGGAGAAAAAAGAACCGGTGCTTCCAGTCATGAATGGAGGTCGGGCCCCCAAAAATCAGCCTCTGACCAGGGCAAACACAGACGCTCAGGAACCCATCCGAGTTTTGAGGAGAAACCCGGAAGAAATGGTGGAAGAGGTCTAGGCTCAGTTCCACACCCTTAGCCTCGCATCGTCCGATAAACGCCGAGATAAACCGGAACGAATTTGGCATAGACTAAGCAAGAACGACTTGAAAGCAGCGGAAGAAGCCGAGTAGAACTGGTGAAAGGGGTAGCGCAGGTCGGCCTTAATAGAATCCATATGCACCATTATCATCCCCGGACGTCTTCTTAACAGGTTATCCGCACCCCGGAGGCTGTAGACGAACGACGAGGGGAGAAGGATCTTCAACTGCTTGAGGGCCTTGTCAAAGAAAGATTGATCGATCAACGGCCATAGGAATACCACGGTCAAAGATTGACGGAGGGCGTCCATAGGAATACCACGGTCAAAGATCATCAGGTCATCCCCATCAACGGCCTCGACCCCTGAGGCAGGATGAGCCTCCTCGTCACCCTATTGGGCTGCATCCCCATGAGCAGCATTCTCCGGCGCAACGTCCATCGCGACATCTTCTTGAAGGGCAACAACCCGACTCACATCATCGGCCACAATCGAGCCAATTGTGGATGAAGAGCCAAAACTACCAGAAGTACTCGTCTCCCCTCATGAGCGAGACCCCGAACCGGACCCCGAAGAAGAACTAGAACTCGTGGAGATCTCCATAGACCCCCACCATCGGAAAAGACAACGGAAAACGAGAAATGATCAGGAGAGGGAATATCAGAAGTCGAAAATCACCTTCAAGAGCTTGACAGAGGACGAGTTGTAGATCAGAGACTACAAATGGCGGAGCGGTAGACTTGTGAGCAAGAGAGCGGATGTTGGAAACCCTAAGCTATCCGGGAGACCTGATATTTATAGAGGAGAGCACCGCCTCAATGGACGAATGGGGACGCGACGCGAGGCGAGGAGCGTACCCAAGGACACGTGTCGTGCGGAGGTCAACATACGCATCATGATTACTTTTTATCGAGAGTTGTACCATTCCGCAGTAACCGTCACCTAGGGTTCCGCGAACCGACGTCAAACAAGCAACCATCACATCTGGAGCGTCAAAAGGGCTCAGCTCCGCGGAGACACTTTTACTTCCTCATGTCTCGCGCCCGCTCGGAACATCAAAAGTGGGGGACTTGTGTTGGGTTAATGGCCCAACCAGGGGCCGCCCCATTATTCCCTTACTAAGTAGCCCCAAGGCCCAACAGGAAAGGAGCATCAGACGCTCGTCCCCAAGCTCCGAGGCCCACTAAGGGCAGTTAATCACCATATCCCAAGGCACCACACGACATCCGTCTCATCTGAGGACGCTCGGCCTCGGGGGCCTTGGCCATTAAGGCTATCCAATGCACTCTAACGCCCAGAACCAGAGGACGCACAAAGGACGCTCAGCATCTAGCCCTTGCTCCAGCATTACAAGGAGCCCAGCATACTGACGACGCTCGTCCACAGACTTGGGCTGGAAACCAAGATACTGGCGGGAAGCGCATTTAATGCAAAGATTTGGTGGTTGGGGACCTAGCCATCCACATCCCTCCACGTAAACAGTTCTACCTACCCATTAATAGTATAAATAGTATCATTTATTTAATTGTAAAGAGTTAGCAACTTATTCTCCCTAACATTCTAGCTTTATTCTCAGCTCTTACTTAGCGAGAAAGAGGATCGGCCTCAAGCCAGGTAACTTAGTGTGTGGTATACAGACCCTTATTATCATTTAATAAGATACGATCTACTGCTGCGGATATACTTTAGCCCATCTTACCTGCTTGCACTTCATATTCAGCTGTGCGAGTGAGACAGACGAATGCACAAAAAACACATATGAAAATGTGTACATCAATCATTTTCCAAATTAAAAATTGGATAAAAAATGGGACCATAACCGTGCATAAGAGAACCAGTCTCGCCTTCCGTCCATGGAATACCCATTGCTGCCAACCCCGACGCCAAGTTCGGGAGCAATGATCAACGTCGAGCGCTCCCTCCATTTTTCCTCATAGACAAAACGTCAATCATTAGGTCCAATGAGTTCCGCGACAATGGCATGCGCTGCCACTCGGTCTCTCCGCCCTTCTCTCCCCCCGCCTCCTTCTTCATCTTCTAGCTTCTTCTCCGGCGGGACTTCTCTTTGGTCCCACAAAAGTACCTTGATTTCCCTCTCTCTTTCTTCTTATTCCACTTTGTCTCAGTTTGGAGAGAAGAATTCGGCTAGGCGCTTTCGGAGATTGGTTGTGGCTGCAGGACCTGATTTTTACTCCACTCTCGGGGTCTCCAAATCTGCTAGTAGCAAAGAAATTAAGGCAGCATATCGGAAGTTAGCTCGTGAGGTACTGAATCCAGTAGTTGGTGTGGACGTGTGTTAACGTGCTGATTTCTATTCATTGTAATTTTGTCTCCAATTGGGATTCCGGCCATACATGACATTTTATAGCCTTTATACATACCTCAGTTTCTTTCACTTTACTCGTTCTGTGCTCCAAAAGTTGTTGGGGATGATTGTGAGTTTGTTTCTTTCACATTACTCGTTCTTTACTCGTTCTGTGATCAAATCCCTATATATTATACTATTTCTGAGTAAGTGAATATCTTTCTCTGTTAGTACTAATGCGAATGAGCTTCTGTTCCAAGCAATTGAGCAAATATTTTCAAGGCATATCATACTAAGTAGCAATGAAACGTGAGAGGGCAGTTTTTATGTAAAAAATGTTGGAAGGGGACCTAGGAAGCTTTCAAAAACGTTTTTTTAAAAAATAATATCATGTTTGATATTGCTTCTTTCTTTATATCTAATTAAACCTGATTACTTCATTTCATTTTCTTTCGCATGCCAAAAGCTAGAGGGCATCTGAATTTGGGATGCAAGGAGTATTTTTGTTTTGACTTTTAATGGTTTTCTGTTTTGTCTTTTTACCATATGGTTTTGACATATTTGTCACACCCACTTACTTTTCTGTAATCTTGCGACTGACAGAACGATTAAATTGGTGATCTGAGATTATAAATGTTTCCTTCCGTAGTTGTGCGTATGACCAAAATGGTATTCCTCTTGTTATGCTTTCTCTCTACTAGGTTAAGCATTTTCAGGCCTCGAGTTAGTCTCTTCTAGCGTTCTAAATTTTACCTTTCTCATGTTTGGCCAGTCCAAGGCTTACAAGCTTCATACATAGATTACCACCAGAAACAATGTCAATTAATTTTCCTGGATCCTGATAACCTTTCTTTTTACTCGTATCTTCTTTAGTACCATCCTGATGTCAACAAGGCGCCTGAAGCTACTGAAAAATTTAAGGCGATTAAATATGCTTATGAGGTGAGAGTTGGAATTATAACTTGCTTCGTCTGTTAATCAGTTATTTCAATGTTTTTATTTTCTCTTACTGAGTATACCTTTACGCTAAGCAAGCAATGTTGATCTCATATAATCTTTATTTGAGAAATACACTCTTATTTAGATACTATCAGATGACAAAAGGAGAGCTTTATATGATCAATATGGCGAAGCTGGGGTTAGAAGTACTGTAGGGGCTCAAGCTGGAGCTTACACGGTATAACATTTTATGCTCTTTGTGTTTCTACACTGCCCTTGTATTGGGCCTTTTTCTGCAGCAAAGTTATTATCGATTAGTTTACAATTGTGCATTTGTGCCTATGGTCTCATGGGATTGCTTTTCTTTTTCGATTCTATGATTGGTTTTTCCCAAAGAATTATGTGGGAAAAAATTAACAAGTACTTTTTATAAAATCGTTTTGATAATGTATTTACTTAAGAAGAACTTTTTTGTTTTGGTCCACTCATTTTGAACCATTTTGGAAAACGATACAATAAAAATGGGACGTCCCAAAATGAAAAATGGGACAATAATATGGATAAATTTTGGGGCAAAAAATATCAAGGCGTAGGATGGGCCAAAGGGGTGATCGGCTTGAAGAAACTCAGCCCTATGAAACCACTGAAATTTTCCATTCACTGCTTTTTATTTCACTTCTAAAAGGTTTCCTAATTTAATTTTGGTAGGTTTCTTAGTTCAGTTTTAGTTAGTTTCTCTTATTCTCTTTTAGGAATCTGTTAAGACTGATGTATAAGAGTCCTTAGTTGATTTATGAGGAGTTGTATTGCAAAATTAATTATTGTGTGTCTTGACAAGGTGCCCAGATTTATTCCAATGAAGTCTTTCATTTTTGGTCCTTCCTTCCTCCCTCCCTCCCTCCCTCCTTCCTTCCTTCCCTCGCCCTCCCTTGCCCGCCCTCGCCCGCCCTCGTTCTTTCTTTCTTTCTTTTCTTTCTTTTCTACTCATCATAGATCCGAAAATTCATTCATCATGGACGAGACCTTGGATGAGCTCTCTTAACAATTATGTATAAGCATGAGGCTCGATGGAGACTGATTCTACATCAACCGATAATCTGAAAACCTACATGCATGGATTGCAGTTCGATGTCGAGGAACAACTTGCAAATCTCAAAAGTTATGTCACGGATTTGGTTGGCTTTCCATCTGCCTTCACTGACCTTCGCAACACAATCACTTCCCTCGCGACTTCGATCCAACAACTTTTCCACGATGAAGTCGTTGACTCTGTAATTTCCAACTGACGCAAGGAGACGACAATTAACAACATGTCACAATTGATTTTATGGTTCCCCGCTTCTCCAAACGGGAATTTCCCAAGTTTGATGGCAAAACAAATCCGTTACCCTGGCTTAAACGTTTTGGAAGATTTTCAATCTGCAAGAAAAAATTGCACCCCATGGCAAGGTGGCTTAGCAGCCTCTCACATGACTGGCACAACATAGCTTTGGGCGAAACAATTAGATCTAACAGTCTCAAAACTGATATGGACTGAGTTCTTTTTGGCCCACCGTGTAGTTTTAATCCGGAGGGTGATCTGGCCAACCTTAAATCATACTTGTCACGGTAGTAAGTCAAGTCGCGGCGCCAACCAACCTCCATATTTCCTATGCGATAAGGCGCCCGCCTAGGCGATAATTAGGCTACTAGTCGCACATTGTATGATACTACTTATATAGTATATATATAACTATATATATTATATATGATATATAATATATTACTTATTAAATTGTATATTACTTTGAATAGAAACTCACAAATCCACAATTCATAATTGAAAAAAAAGTTTCTTAATGGGAATTAAGAGTAAAAATGTCTGTCTCAAATAATCATTGTAAAAATCATATATTTGTATACATAATTATATATATATATATATATATATATATATATATGATAGTTTTTATTAATAATTTTATAGTTTAATGATTTGTTATTTTATACCTCCTTCGTCCCAAATTGAGTTGCAAATTTGATTTTTTTGAGTCAAACAGTTTTATTTTATTCACTTAATTAGGATGTCATTGCTTAATTTTAAATTTTATTTTGGATTTTGCAACTTCAAAGAGATTTTAATGTAATTTCTGAATAAGGAGTAAAACTCTAATAGCAACTGGTTTAACAATTGGGGAAAAGGCTTCACTGAAATCAAAACCATATTGTTGATGAAAACCTTTTTGCAACTAAACGAGCTTTGAATGTATTAATAGTTTCATGAGGATTTCCTTCTAATCGAAACACCCGTTTTCATCCAATGACATGTTTGTCAGGTTGTAAAGAAGTAACAGACCACACGTTATTAGAAATTAAAGCATCATATTTTGATTCCATTGCTTTATGTCAATCAGGAGAACCGAGGGCTTGTTTACTGATGTTGGCTCAGTATGAGCTAAGAGCAAGGTTGGATTAAGTCTAGGTTTACTATTCTAGATTTAGCTCTAATGTTCATAGGATGGATGTTAGAAGAAGGAACGAGAGAGATGGATGTGGTATTGTTAATAGGTTGGTCAGAATTAACAGATTCAAAAGATGAAGTTAGGAATTAGGATTTGAAGCATTAGAATTAAAAGATGAAGAACTATTAGAATGTGTGGAGTTTGAGGGAGACTGGTGAATGGTGATCATTGATGTTTAGAGAAAAAGAGGCTGGTGATTCAGAAATTGTAGTTGAAGGAGAAGATGGATTGTGTAAGACAGTTAATGGTGTATTAGAGATTTGTTTTGAAGTTGAAGTATGAGGAGAATGATTGAAAAGATAAGGATAAGGAAATTGAAAATGACATCCTTAGAGATGTAGATCTTTGCCATTTTAAGATAAACATTTGTAACCTTTATGTTGAGGTGAGTAACCTAAAAAGATACATTCTTCATAATGAAAGTCAAATTTGTGTTTATTGTATGGTTTGACAAAGGGATAGCGAGAGCAACCAAACACCTTGAGAAAAGTGTAATATGGAACATAATTATAGAGTTTAATATAAGGAACTATGTTGGAAATAAAAGCTGAAGGTGTTCTATTTAATAAGATGAACCGCTGTTGCAAAGGCAACATCCCAAAATTTGAAAGGAAGAGAAGAATGAGCAAGTAAATTTAGACCTTTTTCCAATATAGATCTATGTTTGCGTTCCACTACACCATTTTGATGGTGAGTGTGAGGACAAATAAGTCTATGTGTAATGCCTTTTTCAGTGAGAAATTGAGTTAAAGATCTGAATTCACCACCCTAATCAGATTGGATTGATTTTATAGAAGAAGTGAGTGTATGCATATGCATAGAAATGCTTGAAAGCTGAAAAAGCATCAGATTTCTTTTTGAGAAAATAGATCCAAGTGTATCTGGTATAAGCATCAACAAAAGATATATAGTAAGAGTAACCATCAAATGAGAAGGAAAATGTAGTTACATAGGAATGAGATGGTAAATGGTGTGCTTTGCCAAGACAACAAGCATAACATAAATTCATTTCATTCTTAGAAGGATGGGAAATATTACATTGTTTAAGAACAAACTTTAATGCCTCAAGGGTAAGATGCCAAAGATTACACGTATTATTGCTACTAGACTGTATTGAAGACAAATTTTGAACTGATTTATTACATATGAGTTGATTATTGAAGCAAGATGTAGCAACACTCCAACTAGTTGATTAATCATATCTAGGAGTAGGATGTTGACTCAGAGTGCAAACATGAACATCTTGAATTGAATTGAGTAAGATCTGGAAATGAATTAAATATGTAAAGACCATCACTCTTAAGCATACCATGCACAAGAACCTGTTTAGAATCCTGAGATTTGACAAAACATTCATAAGGATTAAGGATAAAATTCAAAGAAGACACGATTATCCTTAGCAATCTTACTTACACTAATCAGAATCTTAGTGATGGAAGGGACATAAAGCATATTTTGAAGAGTAAGTGAAAAGAGAGGAATTGTAAGGGGATAGGAATGAAGAAAAACCAGTAAACTTAATATCCAAAACCTTGACCATTGCCCATAAAAAGCTTATCAATGGAATAGTGAATGAATCATGATACTGCATGTTCAATGAATCTGCTATAACATGATGTTTTGCACCAGAATGTGGAAAACATTTTTGATAGGAATGCTGATTAGGTGCAGGTCCCAGTATAGATGAGTTGGCATATGCCCAAGCAGCAGATGGATTATTGGTGGAGTAATGAAAATGTGGAGCCCAATTAGGAGTTTCTATGGTTGAAGAACTAGAAACAGGTTGATGATGTGGGAACATATGTGATGCAAGCATAGGTGCAAGTTCAGGTTGATGAGCCATAGGAAATGGAGGATAGTTAAGAAATGGATGTTTGTTCCAGCTGCCTCAATCATTAAAATGATGAGAAGTGTAGCCATGGTTGAAATGATTATAACACATAAAAGCATTATTGAATGTTTTGCGACAGACTTGACAAATAACAGAAGAGCGTCCCCCCTGATCATCCTCCTCTACGAAAACCACCTCTTAAATTAGGATTGCGTTCTCTTCCTCTGAATTGATTGCCACCTCGATGTGGATTATTGAATTGACCAAACTGAGAATAATGTAGATTGTGAGGACTCACGAAGCTTACGAAGTCTCATTTCTTTTGCTAGAAGGATTCTACATCAGAAAGTGTGGCTCGATCTAGAGCACTTCGAAAGTGATTCATATTCTTGTGGTAAGCCTTCGAGTATAACATTGACATGATCCTTGGCTGAGATTGGTTCTCCAATCGATAGAAGACTATCAGAAATAGTTTGAATCCTGAGAAGATATTTAGATATAGATCTGATAGGAACCCACTTATATTAGACTCATAATAGAAGTATTAATAATAATATTAGTAATAAGGGTATGAGTACCCTAGTATAAATAGAGGTGTAAGGGAGTTAGAAAGGAGGCCTTTGAACGTATAATCTGGGACTTGGGAAGATCGAGAGCTATTCTCTTTCTTTGGGGGGCTTCGACCTTGGATTTCTGTACTGTTCATCTTCTTCTCTAATAAAATCAGTTTGATTTCTTGTTCTCTTTCTGTAATTTGTTGTGGAATTCTGGAGGTTTCTATCATTGGTATCAGAGCGAGTCGTTTGTTGGATGAGTTACACGCTAGCAAGGATGGAAAGACGAATCAACGAAGTTGAGGAAAATTTGTTAGAATTTGGAAGGAATATGGATAGAAGTCTGCCGAAG